CCCAAAAAAAAAAAAAAAAAAAGGAGAGGTAGGATCACATAGGCCCACAACTTCTTTTCTTCTATTCCTTTACATAAAACTAGGGACCCCCCTTCCTTTATTCTGCCCATAGCTTCATTTCTACTTCCTAGGCATTTTCCCTTTATATTCAGTTGTTATTTAGTCATTTTCAAACACAAGAGGTTGGTGCTTGCTTTATGATCTTGATTTGAAGCTTTTCTCCTTGATTTGGGGTCCATGTAGTGTGGCTGACATTATGACAAATCAAAGTTCTTTTGTGGTGTAACGATATTGTTCGTTTTGGCCCGTTACGTATCGTCGTCAGCCGTATGGTCTTAAAACCCATCTCTTAGAGAGAGGTTTCCGCACACTTAAAAGGAATGGTTCGTTCCCATCTCTGACCGATGTTGGATCTCACGATCTACTCCCTTAGGGCCCAACGTCCTCGCTAGCACACTACGTGACTAGCTCTTATATTATTTGTAACAACTCAAGCTCACCACTAGTAGATATTGTCCGTTTTGGCTCGTTACGTATCGCCGTTAGCCGTATGGTTTTAAAACTCATCTCTTAGGGAGACATTTCCACACCCTTATAAGGAATGGTTCGTTTCCATCTCCGACCGATGTTGGATCTCACAATCTACTCCCTTAGGGCCTAACGTTCTCGCTAGCACACTGCGTGTCTAGCTCTTATATTATTTGTAACAACTCAAGCTCACCACTAGTAGATATTATCCGTTTTGGCTCGTTACGTATCTCCGTTAACCGTATAGTTTTAAAATGCATTTCTTAGGGAGAGATTTTCATACCCTTATAAGAAATGTTTCGTTTCTCACTCCAATCGAGGTAGGGTCTCACACATGTGGGGTCGGTAATAAATGCACCTTTGAATTTAATGATATCAATGTTTCTGATTAGTTTTGACTAAATTTCCATCTATAATACATGCAGATCTCATATCAACATCTCTTCTAAGCCTTTTTATGGTGTGAATTAAGTTTGATTTGGATAAAGGAAATAATCATTCCCTTCCCATCTGCCTATTGTTCATTCTTTTCTTCACTGTAATTGATAATGATTTTCACCATTGCTGCAGTTGATCCAGGTTGGAGCTGATGGGACTTGATCTCCTTGTCTACACGAGCAATTCTCGACCGTTTGATTTAGTCGAGACAATATATAAGTGACTGACTAGAGGCTTGAAATGAAAAGAAATGTCGCTATGTAT